TACTTATATGCCCCAATTCCCCACATGCATAATATCTCACATCTTGCATATTCATCTTTTGTCGATTAAATTCGTCTCGAAAAAAATTCTCTCTTTCCCAATTTTCCTTTTCATTTCTCTATAAGCTCATTGGATTGGCGTATTATACTCGTTAAAATGATCGTATTCCCTATTATTCATTCGATCCTGTCTTCTGAAATCCTTTTCATACCTTCTCCCATAATTCTCTCCATGACTATCAGTATTTCGTTTATTACCTCTCATTCCTTGTTCATCTTTAATATCTATTTCTCTTTTATTATTAATACCTTTTCGTTCGTTCCCCGCCCTAACAATATTAACACTTTTTCTCATTCCATATATCATATTTTCATTTAAAATTATCCATATTTTATCTTTTAAATTTATCATTTCTGTTACAAGTCCGAACTTAACTTAGGGTGTTAATGTTGTATTGGGAGAGCTAATTAGGAATCAAAGGTATATTAAATAAAATAAAGGATTAATTTTAATAATAACGATTGCTAACCACTTACTTTTGAGCACACCTAAAATAATATAATGTAAACTCTTTTAAATAATTCCAATTTATTAAATTGTCGTATTACTTTTCTCTATTCAGAAATATTTAGAATCTCCCTGTCTATAATTAATTTCAGATACTATAATTAATGTAAAACAAATTTTTCCTTTTTTATAAAAATCCACTCTAACTAACTTTATTGAAAATTGAATCATATATATATACATAATTATTTGCATATTAAATATGATAATTTTTCGAAGAATAAAAATATAAAATTAAAATATTATCATTTAAATATAAAAATGTAAAATCTAGTACAACTATTACTAATTTTTCGCAGAATAAACATATAAAATTAAACTATTATTATTCAAATATAAAAATGTTAAATTTCGTACAATATTAAATTTACATAATACCACATCTCCCTCCTTCAGTTCTCCCTTACCCCCATTGTGTTCGCCGCTTCTACCATGTTCCTGCTCGGTACACTTGAATTATTATTCGTTGTTAACTCCAAGCAGGGACAAAACCGTAATTTATGTTCTCCACCACAGGCCCAACAATATAATCTCCTTCTTGCACCATATGGGGTTGTTCTTCGATCCCCTCTTGTTCTAGTCGGAACTTCTTGTAACCACTCCCCGTATCTTCGTCTGGCTTCATTCCTTGCCGCTTCTACCCATCTGTTTGATTCTTCTGAACCGTCAACGTCTCTTATCTCGATCCTCATTATCTTGTTACCAACTCTAACATATGAGGCCATCTAAATAAAATACTTTATAAACATATATATATATATATTCTTCGAACTCTTATTTCTCTATACTAGGTTAAAATTTCTTCTCTAACTCTTTAAGTCTATCATCCCTTTTATTTCCTTCAATTATGATTCTCCTACTTTGTATATCATCAATTTATTCCTTTCTAAATTATGAATCTCTTAATTATGTCTCATCGGTAAATTTGATTCTCATAATTACATCTTTCATCAATTTATTTCTTATAATCCTTCGTATATTTCTTATTTCTCTCTAAGGCCCTAAGCTTCTAAGCCTTACTTGCTTCAGGTGCCTTGTGAAAACTCCTTCTTGTCCTTCAATCTTTACTTCTACTTTTTTTTTCCCTATATTTTTGCTTATTACACCCTTCCCCCATTTAATAGGCCCATCAAACAACAATACCCACACCAAACTTCCTACTGGAAATCTTTCAATCTCTACTTGTTCTCTCCTTATCACTTTTTCCTTTAAAAAATCTAATTCTGATCTCGTCTTTCTTCCTAAAAATATTTCAGCTGGTGACTTTCCTTTTGCTGTTTCCGTACTGTTGTATGCTAACAATGATAACCACCATTTACCTTCTCCATATTTTTCCTTTTTCAACCAACTCTATACTAACGCTACCATTCGCTCAGCTTGTCCATTGCTTCTTGGGTAATAAGGTGGTATAATAAATGTCTAATATTCCACCTATCACAAAATTTATCAAATGTTCTACCTTTAAACGCTGGACCTCTATCTGATACTATCGTCTTCATTAATCCATATTTGCCTACAAAATCCTTTATCTTATCTAAAGCTACTCTTGTTGATAAACCTGAAACTTGTTGGCAATCTATCCATTTTGAACCTGCATCTACCATGATAAAATATCTTTTCTTCTCATATTCTAAAAAATCTACATGTATTCTTTGGCATGGAATGTCTGTCTTTGGCCATTTATTTTCCTTATTCTTTGCTGGAACATTAGCCCACATGTTACAGGTTTCAAAGCTCCTCGCTAACTCTTCTATTTCCTTATTCATCTTAGGCCACCACATATATTCTCTTGCTCTATTTTTCATTCTTTCTATGCCTTGATTACCTGAATGTATTACATTTAAGGTTTCCTTTCTTAATTTATTCGGTATCACTAATCTATATCCTCTCAATAAACAATTGTCTTCTATATTTAATTCACTCTTAACTTTTTTAAACGCTTTATCTTCATTTTTTCTACTATATCTCCTTTTAAACAAGCTTTAATTCTTATTAATTCTTCATCTTGTTGGGAGATCTTTTCTACTATTTCAAATGTTATAGGTTTTTCTCTTGTATCTATTCTCACGGCTCTTATAATATTACTATTTACATTTTCTTCTTCTTCTATATATTCTAAACTATTGATTACTGGCTCTTTGCCTTCAATATCTTATTAAACAATCTTGATAAAATGTCCGGTAAGCAATTTTGCTTACCTCCTCTAAAATTTATCTCAAAATCGAAATTACCAACTAAAATTAGTCATCTTTGCAGCCTAGGTGAAATCATAATTTCCTTATTTTCCTTCTTAAATAAATCTACCAACGGCTTATGGTCCATATACAATAAAAACCTTTTTCCTATCAGATATTCCGTGCATTTCGTAAGTCCAAATTTCACTGCTAAAGCCTCTCTTTCTATCGTGGAATAATTTTTCTCAGAGCTATTAAATCGTCTCAATAAAAACAAAATAGGTTTCTCAACATTATCTATCATCTGTAATAAAACTCCTCCTATACCTTCATTAGAAGCATCGACTGCTAAAATAATATTTAAATTCTCATTAAAACAACTTAAAATAGGCTTCTCTACCATCTTTATTTTCAAATTTTCGAAACTTTTCTCCTGTGCTTCTCCCCATTCAAACTTTTTATTTTTCTTTAATAAATCATACAACGGTGTAGCAATTTCTGCAAAATTTTGAACAAACCGATGATAATAATTTGTTGCTCCTAAAAACGCTTGTACCTCCGCTTTATTATTCGGGGCTCTCATATTCATGATCTTATCAATATTCTTTACAATTGGCGTAATCTCATTTCCCTTTATAACATGTCCTAAATACTTTATTTCTTTTACTCCAAAAACGCTCTTCTTCAAATTAGCTTTTAAACCATTTTCTAATATAATATCTAACACTTTAACTAATCTCGAATTGTGTTCTTCTTCTGTTCTACCAGATATCAAAACATCATCTAAATAATACATTATTCCTTTTATTCCTTGAAATAACGCCGTCATCGTTCTTTGAAATATTGGCGCTGATATTTTCAAACCAAAGGTAGTCGGCAGAATGCAAACAAACCTCTATGCGTTGTAATCGTTAGTATCTTACTTGTCTTTTCACTCACCTTAATTTGCAAATAAGCATTCGAAAAATCAATCTTTGAAAACAGGGTGTCTCCTCTTAAATTCGCTAGCAGTTGTTCTATTCTAGGTAGTGGATACTTTTCATTTATTACGAACTTATTAACTGTTACTCTATAATCTATACACAATCTTAAACTGTTATCTGGTTTTCTTATGGGCACTAAAGGTGTTGACCATTCACTATGCACTATTGGTTTTATTATTCCGTCTTTTAACCATTTATCTAATTCTTTATCTATCTCTTCTATCCACGAAAACGGTAATCTTCTTATGCCGCAAAACTTAGGTTTATAATTTTCTTCTAATCGTATATCTACTTCAAAATTTTTCAGAGTACCTAATTCTTCTTTAAAGATATCCTTATACCTATTCAAAATAATCTTTATTTCTTTTTCAAAAATATCCTCAACAACATTCTGGTCTACCATATTATTAATTTCTTGTTTAATTTCGACTGAATTTACCTCTATTGTCTTTATATCTCTTGTTTTCTTATTTTCTTCTAAGTTGCTTCTATATTTAATCAAAAATTCTGGTGTTCGATTTTTAAGTTCATCTAGAACTATCTCTTGATTGACTCTTAAACAAGGTAACTCATTCTTCTCTTTATCCTCACTTCTTATTATCTCTTTAGTTGTTTTGTTGTTCTCTTGTATATTTTCAAATAAAGACCACCACTTATAATCAGGACCTATCTTCTTAATGTCATTCCAACCTAAAATTGGTTCCATATTTAGTGTTTTTATCCATAACTTTATTTCCTTCTTTATATCTATCAATTTTATTATATAAAAACCAAGAATTTTAATCATGCTCCCATCTACCTGTCTCACTTTTATTTTCTTTGTGATGAATCTATCTTTTGAAAAATATTTATTAAATTCTTTTACACTCATTAAACTAATCTCGGCTCCTGTATCTAATAAAAAGCTAATTTCCATTTCACCTATCTTTATTTTAATCCTAGGACATCTATTTTTCCTTATAATATTTTCCAAATCAATCTTGCATATGTTTTCTGTCTCAAAATTTTTTTTATCATTTATCTTATATTTATTCGAATATTCTAAATCATTTATATTATTATCATTTATTCCTAATTTACAATTAAAATTATAAAAATCAGATATACTATTACTATTATAATTTATATACTTATTCTCTCTTTTATATAGTCATCTGTTACATGTTTCCTGAACATGTCCTTTTAGTCCACATTTTAAACATATTAAACTATTATCTGATAAACTTCTACAATTTGTTACTAAATGGCCTTTCCGTCCACATCTCGTGCAATTTAAATGTCCAGTTAAATCACATTGCCTCGAAATGTGTCCAAACTTTCCACAACTGTAATATTTAATTGTCCCTACATTATTTATTTGACTTATCTTACTTTCCTTTCTTATAGCGTTCTTTATTCTTTCTAAATCTTTATTTTCCAATCTTATTACCGAAGTATTTCTACCTATGATTAATCCTACCGAGAAACTTAAAATTAATAACAAAATTATAATTATACCTATATATTCAAAAACTAAACTTAATAAATTAATCTGTGTAATATACATTATAAAGTACTCAATAACCACTTAATTAATAAAATTTTAAATAATTTAAAAAAATTGCATACATATCTACTATAATAACTAAAAGTACTAATAATTTATATAACATAAAAATAAATTTGTTTTTACCTTTGAATTCCTAAGTGAATATCTAACAGGCCCTGATTTACTTCGGTCCAAATTGTTACAAGTCCGAACTTAACTCAGGGTATTAATGTTGTATTGGGAGAGCTAATTAGGAATCAAAGGTATATTAAATCTATATAAATAAAATAAAGGATTAATTTTAATAATAACGATTGCTAACCACTTACTTTTGAGCACACCTAAAATAATATAATGTAAACTCTTTTAAATAATTCCAATTTATTAAATTATCGTATTACTTTTCTCTATTTAGAAATATTTAGAATCTCCCTGTCTACAATTAATTTCAGATACTATAATTAATGTAAAACAAATTTTTCCTTTTTTATAAAAATCCACTCTAACTAACTTTATTGAAAATTGAATCATGTATATAAACATAATTATTTGCATATTAAATATGATAATTTTTCGAAGAATAAAAATATAAAATTAAAATATTATCATTTAAATATAAAAATGTAAAATCTAGTACAACTATTACTAATTTTTCGCAGAATAAACATATAAAATTAAACTATTATTATAAAAATGTTAAATTTCGTACAATATTAAATTTACATAATACCACAATTTCTTCCGTTATTTTTTCATTTTCATTTAAGTTTTTTAATTCTATTTCATTTTTTTCTTTTTTAATTTAATTGTTGCATGTGCGCTATTATATATTTAAATACTTAAATAATTTATATTTAAAATTCAGTTAAACTATTATATATTTAAATACTTAAATAATTTATATTTAAAATTCAGTTAAACTATTATATATTAAAATACTTAAATAATTTATATTTAAAGTTCAGTGAAATTTATTTGCATATCTCAAGGCAACAAAATATATATATAAATTAATATATATTTTCATTTTGCATCACTTGTTTTTCTTGTATGATAATAACTTGTTGTTTTCTTATTTTTAAATAAATTATAAAAAACATATTGGGAATTCCTCCGTAACTTCAATTTATTCTATTCTATTCGTATTCTTATATTATACTTTACAAAACCGGACACACTTGAGTCTTCCAGAGAGTATTTCGATAGACTGAAAGGGTATGGTTCGGGGCTCAATCCTGAATTTTTGTAGGTGCATTTTTTGTTGAATTGTCGTAATGAAAAGCTAAAAACAAGGTTGATTGAAGAAAATACTACAGAGATTAATATTATATAGGACATTGTTGTCAAATTTCAATCGTTGGAGATCAATAATAATAAAACATATGTAGAGAAAGATTCTTGGAGAAGAGAGGATAGAATCTATTGGCAAGGCTATTCGTCTTGGAAAGAGAACAAGCAGACTTTTAAGGCCAACACCAACAACATCAATTACAACAACAACAGTAGCAACAACAACAACGGCAGCAGCAACAACAACAACAGTAATTACAACAATTTCAAAAAGACGGAGATGATACAAACCCCTTATAACTTAAGGCCAAGAAATAAAATTAATTTTATTAATGATATTATGATTGATTTTCAAGTTAATAATTATGATTTTTCTTTTATGATAGATACTGGTTCTCCGGGGTCATCCTTGCCCATGAAAGAGTTTGAAAAGCTTACGAAGGATGAAGTTGTTAATACTAAAGAGATAAGAGATAGGGTTAATTTTTTAACTTTTTATAATCCGTTATCGCTTCGAATAGGAATCGGTTGATTGTTCAATGACAATGACTTTGATTATAACCTTAAATTTAAAAGAAATGACAATGACTTTGATTTACTACCTTAATTTTAAAAGAATTAAATTTTGAGAATTAACTTTACGCAACTCCGTTTTTTTTTTCAAAGTGAGCATCAATCAATTTGGCGTGGGGGTATTGTCACTGAGAGGATCAGTAATGTCATTTAAAATTCAAATTTTCTAAGGTCAAAATTATTCATTTAGATCATAATGGTTCATTAATTATAATTGTTTTCTATGATAATACGCTTTTCTTATATTTTTTTTTATCACCATCTCCAAATTTTATCATAAATTTTAATGATTATTTTTTCTTTTTTCATTAAATAATTTTCTTTATTATATAAATTTTATTCCAAATATATTTATTGTTTATTGGCCACCTATAGTGTGAATTGTACCTATTGATAGTGTAATTTATACCTTTTGTAAGGGTAATTACATAAAAAACTATCATGTACAACTATGGTGCCAATTCCCCTTTATACATATATTTTCATTCTTAAAAATAAATATAAATTACCTTGCATGCCAAACGAGTTATTTCCTTCCCCACATTTTAGTACAATGTTGTGTTTTCAAGTTTTAAAATTTTTTTTATATATATTTTTTTTTTGGAGGGAGTGCATGAAATTATTCATTTAGATCATAATGGTTCTTTAATTATAATTGTTTTCTATGATAATACGCTTTTCTTATATTTTTCATCTCCAAATTTTATCATATATTTTAATGATTATTTTTTTTTTGATTAAATAATTTTCTTCATTATATAAATTTTATTCCAAATATATTTATTGTTTATTGGCCACCTATAGTGTGAATTGTACATAGTGTAATTTATACCTTTTGTAAGGGTAATTACATAAAAAACTATCATGTACAACTATGGTGCCAATTCCCCTTTATACATATATTTTCATTCTTAAAAATAAATATAAATTACCTCTCGCATGCCAAACGAGTTCTTTCCTTCCCCATATTTTTGTACAATGTTGTGTTTTCAAGTTTTAAAATTTTTTTTATATATATATTTTTTTTTTTGGAGGGAGTGCATGTTGCATGTGCGCTGTTATATATTTAAATACTTAAATAATTTATATTTAAAATTCAGTTAAACTATTATATATTTAAATACTTAAATAATTTATATTTAAAGTTCAGTGAAGTTTATTTGTATATCTCAAGGCAACAAAATATATATTTAAATTAATATATATTTTCATTTTGCATCACTTGTTTTTCTTGTATGATAATAACTTGTTGTTTTCTTATTTTTAAATAAATTATAAAAAACATATTGGGAATTCCTCCGTAACTTCAATTTATTCTATTCTATTCGTATTCTTATATTATACTTTATTAATTATTTTTAATTTCAATTTCTTCCGTGATTTTTATTCTTTTTCTTTCTATAACTCTTTTCATTTTTCCCCGATGCAACAGTATACCCATTTAAAGATAACACTACTACACCTATAATATAATTATTTCTCTGTGGAACGATTTCCACATAGCTCTGCGTTTTAATATTTTTTTTATAATTAAACATTAATTCTTTATTCAAAAAAAATTTACAAAAAATTTATTAAAACTTTTATTAGAAATATTTTAATACTACTAAAGGTTAGAAAATATAGTTTACCTATTATTATAACACATATAAAAAAACACATAATTAAATATTTTTATAATTATTTTATTTTACCTTTTATTTAAAATTTTTTATTTATTTTTAATACGGTTTTATTCTCCTTATTTTTGCGTTGTGTCTCTGGTTTATTAGCAATAGGATTGTAGGCACCAACTTTTGTAATATAACTTATGTATTTTTATAACTTAATCTTCTCTAAAAAAATTTTTTAGACACATTTAAATTCTTTATTTTTCTATTTTCGATAAAAACAAAAAATTTACTATTCTATGCAAAAAAGTTAATAATAAAAAAATAAATTCTTTTTTAATAATTCCTATGCGAAAAAAAAATTAATATATCAAAAATAAACGATCTAGTTTTCCTCTCTTTCATATAAAAAAATTACATCCTTGACATTTTCTCTTTTATTCATAAAAATACAATATATCCTTGATAACATTGCAATAACAATCAACATAAAAATAATAAAAGAAAGAAAGAAAGAAAGAAAGAAAGAAAGAAAGAAAGAAAGAAAGAAAGAAAGAAAGAAAGAAAGAAAGAAAGAAAGAAAGAAAGAAAGGAAAGGAAAGGAAAAGAAAGGAACCTTCCTTCCTTCCTTCCTATACAAATACAGTACTATCATTTATTCTTCCAAAGATTTTTACACAGGATGAACCGCACCTCCGACCAGTTTTTTATTTAAAACTCAGGATTAATATCAGAATATAAAAATAAAGATAATTTTATGAATAAATATAATTTAATGAATCTCGTGAGAAATCAATATACTCCAATTCGAACACCATTTTATGGTTTATGCAGCTATTCATTTAAAAGCAGCTGATATATTTTTTTCGATAGATTTTAAGATGGGGACAAATACACAAAAAACATCTTTAGCCGAATCATTATCAGATTTAAATTCCTACGTCAATATCGAAGAAAATCTTAAAGGGAAAAGTGTAACTTTGATTCTAAATTCAGCTGCTAAAATATTTAATCAAGCTAAAGATTTTAATAGCAAAGGAGAGCTTGAACTTGCCTACATATCATTTATGAAATTTTTTCAATGTATTAAAGTGGTTCAAGATTCAAAAGAATATAGAAAAGAAAAAGTAAGTTATTTTAATGTTGTTTAATTTATATAATATTTATTTAGGTTTTCTATGATCAATTACTGGGTCATCAACAAATTGAATCTATCAAAAAGGCAGAGGAACTTTCAGAATATCTTAAAAGGGAGTAAAAAATTATTTTTTTATATAATTTTAATTATTTTATAATAAACTTTTTTAATATTAACTATAATAATAATACGTTAATTTTTTAAAAAATTACAATCTGATTCTAATTCCATTTATGTAAAGCTATGAAAAGCAAAGGAAGGAAAAGTTATCAAACATAAAGAAATTATCAAATATAGTATTGGATTTTAAAGATGCTAATTATTCAGATAAAAATGATCCTATATCTCCTAAAATTGCTCTAACTAACAAAGAGCCACAATATTACCTTACTGTGGATAATAATCATACACTAAATACATCTGATGAAACATTGTTGTCTGAGAATGATAAGTATGAATATAATGAACAAACATTCAATATAATAATTATTTAGTAATTGTAATATAAATGAATTTACAAATACTCAAAGGATGACAATTAATTGTAAGACCCAATTAGAAGTCATAGAATTACACAAATTATTTGATCTTTATGCATTATGTCCTCAAGATCCTGTAGCTTTATTTTATAAGCATAAAATACTTAATGTTAAAGATTATAATTTAAATGATACATTGGCTGATTATTTATTAATTATTGATGTTAGATCCTTCAAGGATTACAACATTTCTAGAGTTTTACACCCATTTTCTATCAATATACCACCGGAAATTTTAAATCAAAGGTTATTATATATAATATAATTTATATATCTTAGGCATAATAGCTTAGCTGATACTTTCAATTTTTACCTATACTAACTATTTTTAATATAGAAGTTGGAAATGTTCTTCAAAATAAAAAATTCCTTAAGATTTATGATCTCTAAAGATCAAAAAATGAAGATTTGAGAATGCTCAAGCAGGATTCATAATCAGATCTGACCTTCAAAAACTTTTTTGTAAAAAATGATTTAAAATTTAATCTGATGAATTCACAATTTTTTTTAAATTTAGATTTTTTTTTTCAATTTTGTGAAAATGCTTGAAGAAAAAATCTTCATTTGTCTTTCTTCAAATATAAATAATAATTTAGTTTCAAATAATTTGAATATTTATGAAATATAGCCCTAGAGCTTGAAATATATACAATGCCATAAAATATAAAATTCATTGATTTTATCTTGAAAGTTTTAAAAAATTCTTGTATTTTCTGCAAAATGATTACAAAGGTAAATATCTCTAGAAGAAAATACATGCAAATGATAATTAAAATTTTTTACAAAAATGTAGTTGGTACCAGAGTTGTTAAAGTAGCACACAAACTTTTTTGGTAGCTATAGCTAATAGCGGCTACTTTTTTTGTAATTATTTAATTTTTTAGCGTGCTACTTTTTTTGAATGTAGCTAAGTAGCCGCTATTTTGCTACTTTTAAAAAATATAATGAAAGTAAGTTTAAACATGAAAATTTACATATAATATCATAATTAATTATAATTTTTATGATTTATTATTTAATTTTGAAATTAAAATATAATTTCAATTTGTAATTTATACTTTCATTTGTATTATAAACCTAAATCACGTGTTAATAATTTAAAATGTCATCGCCTATGGATATCCAAATCGTTGAAAGTGATTCAGACAATATTAATGAAATGGAAGATACCAGGGAAGAAAATGTTCTTAAGAGTTATAATACAAATTTCCCATTCCCTAGATTTGAAATTTTTTTAAATAAATATAAAACCAAAACTGGTTTCAAATTTATTTGTTTAAAATGTAAAAAAAAATATTTCCTCAAATCATTCCAGTAGCTATAACCTCAAGAAACACCTAAAGGTAAATTGTCATTTTTACATTCTAATAATATTTAAAACATCTAAATAATTTTGGTATAGGCGACTCTACATCCAAAAAGACTAATTCAATTCAAACCAAATTAATTAATAATGCAAATGACAATATTTCTCAGAAATTGGCTGATAAAGTTATTGTTGATTTTCAGCCAATGTACTTAGTTGATAATCCATCATTTAACATGATTAAAACTATCCCTGGTACAAAAATTTAATGCCGTCAGACACTAATGAATAAAATAGCAGATAACTTTAAAATGATGAAAGATGCTCTAATAGTAGAGTTATCAGAGATATCATATATATGTGCCACAGGAGATAGTTGAACACATAACAGAAGGTAAAAACTTATTTATATTTATAAATTGATCTGATTAAATATTTTTGAGCTTATTTGGGAATCACAGGCTATTGGCTAGACCCTAGAACTTTAAAAAGAAGATCTGTGGCATTAGCCCTCAGAATGATAATAGGGATGCTAGACATACTATGTACTTGCAAATAAAATTATTGATAATCTATCTTATATTAAAAATATGTATATAAGATTAAATATGCCCTTACCTCAAGTGCTAGTGTCGAGAGATTATTTAATAAGGCAAAACTTATACTTTCTGATTGTCGCTCTAGTCTTGGAAATGATAATATTGAAATGATTTTATTATTAAAATGCAACAAATTACCATAAATATTTATTTTTATTACATAAAATTTTTTATAATCAAAACTAACTATATTTTAATATTTATAAATGTTGATTTTTATATATTTACTATACAATAACATTATAAGCAAAAAATTTGTTTGTAAATTTTTTTTTTTAAAGTAGCTTAAAAAGTAGCTTAGCTAATAGTGAGCTACTTTTTTTGACAAATAGTGATAGCCGTAGCCCGCTACTTTTTTTAACAAATAGCAATAGCGGTAGCGCGCTACTTTTAAAAGTAGCGTTTAACAACTCTGGTTGGCACATAAGAATATAAATATAAAATAGAAGATAATATAATGAAACAACAATGTAGTAGGGGTCTATTTTACAAAAATCTAACTACTAAGTGTTCCAAATGTAAAACCTATGTGTGGAAAATAAAACAAGATAAAAGGTTACATTATATCCAAAATGTGTGGAAACTGATTGAAAATTTTTTATTTTAAAATTAGATTGATTATCAATTTTTGTTTATAATTCAATAAAAATTCTTTGATGTTGAAATATATATTTTTTTATAAAATATACAAATTAGGTCTTAAATATTTTCAAAAATCATATTATTGTTAAAAAATACTGTCAATTGACTATTTTGGTGGTTTTAGGTTGAGCAAAATTTTTAGTATACTTCTACTAAAAGTCAACAATGATTGGTTTTAATTTAACTTAGAATTAAAAGTAAAATTTATACCAAAATTAAAATTTACATTTTATATAACTGCAGGAATTAATCTTCTTATTATAAAGTTACTGAATGCCAATATTGAAGTCAATATATGAATCATACAAATTCTTCTTCAAAATATAAACAATTAGTTAAAAACATTTTTATAGGAAACTTGATTAACCTTAGAAAAATATTTATAATAATTTAATTTAGCAACTAATTGCAACCTATGAAGTAGTGTTGTTAAACGGCTCGTTTTGAGCCGATTTTTAAAAACGGCTAATTCAACATTTCATCCAGAAAAATATTACGCAAGCCTAAAAATTTTGTTCATAGAAGGAACAAAGGTATAGACATATATTATCGAAATCTAGAGGCTTAGATAATATTTTTCTGGCTAAAAAATTGAGTTAGCCGTTTTAAAAAATCGGCTCAAAACGAGCCATTTAACAACAGTACCTATAAGCTATGTGTATAAAATCATTTTATTAACAAATAATTATATATTTGTAATTAAAAAGGAAGATTAATTTAAATTTTGATTTTTATTTAAAAAAATTAATTTTAATCATGAATTTAAATTAATTTGATTAAATCATGCCAAAGCCATACTAGCAGTGTCCAAAAATGTGTAAAATATAGTAGGATTTTATTCCAGGCCCTCAATGTATTAACTCTAATATGGGGAAAGTCATATAATGGAACATTGAATATTATATTAGTCTTCATAATTTCAATTTTTAGTCAAAATTATTCAAAATAATGAAATTTTAAAATTTTAAGCTGGTGTAGTATTGTGGAATCACTATTATAAAAACACTGCTTTAGTAATTCTACAATAGAAACTTAAATTTTTACAAATAATCACAAAATTTAAATTCATTATCTTTAAACTAAAAGAGGATTTTTGATGTTGTAAGACATTAGTACATTTAATTAAAAATATATTATTAATTTCTCAATAAATTATATATTTTCTAAAGCTAGGACAAAGTGGTTTCATTGGTGTTGTAAGATATTGGTACATTTAAATAAAAGGATATATTTAATGAAATCTACTACAAATACATTTTTAACAAATAGTTTTATTTTTATGAAATTATAGAACACATTATTTTGCTTGAAATAAAAGATGAAATACTATTTATTTCTTAATTGCTCAGCGCGTACCCAGAAATTTGCTATGGGGGGGGGATAATAATTTTTTTTTGGAATATTAATAATTTATTAGAACTAATCAATATAAATGGCTGCCAATTTAAAGCGATGAAATCTATAATGAATAAATTTTTTTACAAATCTAAAATGACTTCCAATATATTTGAAGGGATAAATATAAAACATAATTTTTTTTTAAATATCTAATATACAGCCTCAAATATATTCGAAGAGATGAATTTATGAAATAAATTTTTTTAAATCAGCAGGCTTACCTTTATCGAATCCCGATCACGTTCTTTTCAAAAAAGGGACGAAATATAAGATCGAACTTTTTTAAAAAAAAGAATCGTGATTGCGATCACAATCCCTTTCTTGTTTTATAAATTTCAGAAGAAAATTTATTGCCAAATTAAATAAATTAAATATAGTGTAAATTATTTTATAATAGAATAATATAACAATATTATATATTTATTTATAATCAAAATTAGCCATTAAATAATAAAAAAAAATTCTAAATTATTATCATTCAAACATCCACTTCTTTCATTAAGAACTTATTTAGCTTTACTAAACAAGCTCTCCAAGGACGTTATATTTTAATATTATTTTTCTTAATTTATTTCAGTATATTAAAAATATTAATTGAATCATTTAAATAAAAAATAATTAAGGGAAAGCGCATTTTGCGAAGAATTTTTCTAACATAAAATTTCAGTTTTATCTATACAATCATTTGAATAAGCGTAAGTATGTGATTGATCCTGCATGTTTTCCAAATGGGTAATTAACTTTTTTACCAACAGATTTTGCGGCAGATTGATACAAGGACAAATATGCTTAAATTTTGGGCAAATTATTGCTGTTTATATGCTACTGTCCTCACAGAGTGGTGAAGGAAATACATATTTTGTGAAATGATTTTACAATTATTATACGGAGCTGAGGAAAAGGAATGGATCTCATTTATATCTGTCACTTCAATAGCTATTTGTTTTATCTTTTAGATCCATATTAGATAAAGAATACTAAAAATAATTTATTTTATTTTTAATTCAATAAATTAAACTTGTAGATTGTAAATCATATTCATAAATGTTGTCTTGATAAAATTTATGAGAAAAAAATAAAATATGGTATAGGATGCTAAAATATGACGGAGATAGATTTTTCAAAAGCAATAATATTCTATTTAAAATTTTTTGCATTTTATTTATATACATTTTAAGTACAAAAATAATTTTTGAAAGGATCGAAGGATCAAATACTTAACAAAATGATCTCGATCACGATCCTCAATTTAAAGGAAAATCATAAATCCGGACGAATTGCCAAAATTAGGATCGAATCCAGGATCGTCGATCTTTTGATCTCGATCTTTTGATCTCGATCTTTTAACAACTCTGAATACCAGTAATATTCTATAGATATTATGGGTTAATTCATTTTTAAGAATATCATAAAATAGAACATGAAATAGAAAAAACAGTGTACAAATATGTAAAAATTATATAAAAAATACAAAATTATTCTAATAATTAGATCTCTTAAATATCACTACAGTAGTGATTCTACAATAGCAAAATATCACTACGGTATTGATTCTACAATGGATCGGGATTTCACAATCCTACACTGGGCCAAAAATCATCAAAAATAAAAGTGCGAGCCTGACAAATCCCTGGCTGGGCTTGAAAATAAATAAAAATTTAAATCCTGATTGGACCTAAATTTTGGTCTCTGCACATCTCTGCATATTAAAAACTTAAATTTTCTCAAAAAAATTTCTTATGAACAATATTGCAAAGGGAAAATAAGGGGAAGAAATTAAGATGATAAGGATCATTCCTAAGGCAGCAGGATTCAGTAAGCTTATAGTTTGCTTTGGAAATGGCTATAGTTAGCTTCTATCATGAGAAGAAGCCTTCTCGGGGTTTATTTAGCTTGCAGATGAAACCCCAGGTCCTTGAAAAAGGATAAGGCAAATTCACAAAATATGATGAATGTAGTGGATGGATGAAGGAATGAAAACGTAACATTCCTATATTTGCAAATATTTTACTAATTCCTTCTGCTCTAATAGGTTAATGTTTGGTTAGAGAAACCCAGTAAATTGATAAAAAAATAGCCCCAACCAAGAAATTGGGCACTTCTACATGGATTTCAATTATTCCACTGGAAAGCTTTTTATCTCTGAAAAGTCTTGATGGCTCTAGTAATATGGGTATTTGGGCAGATTTCAGGTCTCGTCGATAACAATCGCATGGTTATACCTAAGTATTCAGCTTTTACTCGACTTTAGCAGATAGGAGGTAAAGGGGGTCCTGCAGCAGATACCAATGGCATGAGATCCTACCTGAAAGCGGTATCGAGATCAATATACTTCATTCGCATTTATCTTTAATAAACTGGCCTTTTCCTTTGGTAAATCCGCAAACTCATATGAGACTCTCGAGAAGTTTTCTTCTCACAAAAGCGGCTCACATCATCGAAGCAAAATATACCCTACAATTGCAATCTGCTTTCCAGAGAGCCTTTATATATTTTCCTTACCAGCTAATTTTCTTCTCCTTACATTTTTATGTATTTTTCTTCATCAATATACACTATAATATAAAAAAATTTTTATTATGTAAATACTGGTGGTATTAGGTATCAGTATCAGTTAAACGTTGTAGCAGCAGTGCTGTATTATATTAGGAATTTCTATTTGCTTTATTATTATTTATTTATTTTAAATACCTAGTTTTAGTTCTGGAGATGTAAATGATTGGTACCAAAGAATTTATTCCAATAGAAATGAGGCCAAATTTTGGGATGCACTTAGCTGCTTTGATAATATAATCATTTTAGATGAATTTGGAAACGGTAAATTTTATTTTTTTAATGATTGATTACTTTTTTTATATTCATGAATAGAAAAGGAAACTCAATATGGTTCAGTAGCAAATCTTTCCCAAAAATTAGATCCAATAAAGCGCATTGTTGACATATTGTGGCCGGTAATATTTAAAATTTATAATGATATAATAAATTATATTATATATTTTTTTTTTCACCCATGCGCATTATATTATATTATAATGTAAATTAAAAATTTAATAGACCAAATTGGGAAGCATTTACATGCTTTTATGCCGTATGACCAAAATATTATAGGTGGTTCTATATCCTTTGTGTTAAAAAAAATCTTATTTCCTTTCCCCACTCGCCTTATTAAAAATAAAAGTATACTTTCTCTACCTGTTTTGCTTTTTTTGTGGTCTGGCTTTTGTTCAGAAATTCTTTAGACTAAAACATTAGTTTGTCCACACTTTTATATAAAAAAGTGTGGTAGTTATCTAATGCAGCAACCTTAATTACCACGAGACTTACATAATTTTTAAAGAACCTGGCTATACCAATATTAATTATTAAAGTTTTTAATAAAATTATACACGCATCGCAATTAAATCCAATATTTACTTTATTTCTAATGCCCAGATAAAAAAGGCTTATCAGAATCTGTATTATCTTAAAGGCGGGTTTAAAGCTTGGTCACGACAATATCCGATGTTAACTACACATGTTCCTAGCATAGCCGATGCGAAGGACATGAAAATGACCAATAATATAGAGAGTTCCCAATCCTCGGAATGTTCCTCAAAAATTTTTCCCGCAAATTTAAGGAAAGAAGGTCTATTTCACAAAAACAAGGACAATTGCGGGTTACCCAAGTCAAATATCTTACCCCCGAAAAAGCGATTGCCACAAAGTTTTGACAAAAATTTAGATAAAAACAATATGTTGGCGAAAAAGGAAGATAAAAAATTATACCCCGACACAGATGAACTGCTAGAATTCGCGTCGCAAAAGCAATACGTAAAAGTAATATATTTCTCTAATTTTCTTTAAATATGACATGATGTATTTACGATCAACATAAAATTGAGAAAATATGAAGTGATTGTGAGCCTAATTACATGTAATGCCTCCGCAAACCGCTCCGAGCGATGAAAACGATAGCATAGTTGTATAATTTAACATACTCATCCTTGAGTGACATCGAGATATTTCGCGCTACTATAAATGAGGTCTTAGGTAGGCCAAAAACGAATGAAAGGCGAGTGATTATTGGTATTTGATTAGGCTAAACGAAAGGAATGATTTATTTTTCATGCTAAAAATAAAAATTATTATTCATTATCGATATCAATATTTAAATTAAATAATTTGTAACTAAGAGAATTTTATAATATATTATATTTTAGTTAATAATTTATAAGAGGACTTTAAATATTGTTTGAGTTATAAATAAAAATCACTAAAGTAGGAATAAATTCAAAAAAGTTGATAAGCAGTTCTAACAAAAATGCCAATTTCCTTAAGTGAGGAAAGGATATTATGAAAATGAACAATAATAAAATATCGCAATTTTTAAAAAAATATAATTATGAATTTTTATTGTTATTTAATCAAACCCCAATTATATTCGAATAATTTATTATGCCTATATGTACTATTCGATTTGTTTTTGAATAAACCTTATATATTAAGTAAAAAAAAAGCATTAAACAGCATTCAAATTTTACTAATCAATATGCAATTTTATATTTTTACTTATTCTTGCCTAAGTATTTTATAAAACGAAGATAGATTTAGATTCGAATGATGGGCATCTAATATTTAGCTTATCAATTCTCTAAACATTTTATCATTAAATTATTTATTAGGCTAACAGAAAGCGATCATCACCGAGAACCAATACTAGATCAAATACGGACCATCCAAAAATGTTTGGATAGTAATATACATATTATATTTGTCTAAATTTATTCTAATATTTATAGTTAGATATATATCTTTCTAAATATTTATAATTAGGTCAATTCAAACTATCAGCGAGATGCCACATAACTCTTTTAAGGATGGTTATATGCAAAAATTAAAAACAAGTCAAATAGATGTAATCGATTCTAACCCTAAAACTACTATGTCAGTAAAGGTTAAATTTTTTATTTTTTTGAATATTTATCAGTAGTTGCTCGAATTATTAAATGACCTTAATTGCGATTTTTCGAATTTTTGATTTATTGATAAGATAAGGAATCAAGACTGTTTTATTAAAAGAAATTAAATTTGAATTTTTTTATTTCCAAACATCAATTTTTATCTTTAAGCATCAACTATTTCAAAATTCTGAAAAATGTTTATTATGACATTAAAAGTAGGCTTAATTCGTTTATAAAAAAAATTAGAATTTAAATAAAATAAAATAAAATAAGAGTATATTCTAACAATGGCATTTGATAGTATATTAATAATATATGGCACAAAATGTATATTTTTGTTGATTTTTAATTTTTAAGGATATCAGAGATCAAGATTTTTTATCAAAACACGGCGTTGAATCTTCCTTTACATCAATTCATCCTGAATCCTTGGCGATTCCTTTATCGGCTAACAAGAATCTAACAAGTTAATTTAATATCTAGACAAATTCATACATAATAAGGAGCGCATAATTGAACTCATTTAAAACGATCTCTCTTTTTCAGAATTTTATTTGAAGGTCAGGAATGGAGTAGAAGCTTACGACTACTGACTTTGACAAAGAAGCCATAAAATAACAAGATTTTGTTCCTCTACCACCCCCCCCCTTCCCCTCATCCCCCGCCGTTTTAGGCAACGAGTATGTTTATTTGATATTTGTTTTAAATGTTTTACTAAGAATAAAATATATTTCTATTTCACTGTCCAAAATTTTGTTGCCATTTGGATACGGAAGAATCAGGCTGAGCTCGAGTCTATAAAAAATATAGAAAATAAATGTTTTATCATTCAGGGAACATAAAAAAATGACTTAAAATAAGACATTTTTCATTCATTTATTATTATACTTCAATATACACACATTCATAATTTACAAATAAAAAATTTAAAAATGAAATAATTTATATTTTAAATGTTTTATTCAATCGCAAAATCATATTATCTTCTAAAATATCATCCTTGAGATTTCCACGTAAATTAGACAATATATATTTAAAACATGAAAATCGTTCTATTCTTACCTAAAATAGATAGTTATCTTTAAAATATATAAATTATTCTACTTGTGTCGCCGGTACAGCCATGACGATTCTAGACAAGATATATAATTCTGGATATATTGAAAAATTTTCTTCCCAGAATTTTAAAATATTTGTCTTATTTATTCTCTTAACTTCTGATTTCTATTAAAAATGCAAAAGGCATTTTTGATCCTCCTTTCTATCTGATGATAATTTGTTTTTTTTTCTCTATCTAAAAGTAAAATTTCAAGATCATCAATAGTGCTATCATTATCATTATTATCACTACAACCAGTAGATATTATTGTCGTAGCCTTCAATATATTGTAAATAATGGAGTTTTGTATATGCCATAAATCCTTATGGTCTTTAGCCATTTGGGTTTGCTCAATACTCAATAAAACTTCGAGAGTCTAAATATATAAAAGCATATACTACACTATTTTGTAAATATTGTTGCTATCGAATTTTCATGATTTCTAATATTTCGTATGAAAAAGGACTAGTTAATCTTTCTAAATCTAATCCATATGCCATAAAAATCAGATAAATATATTTGTTCTGATTGTAATCTTATTGTTGTTATTTTTAAAGGAACTAATACATTAGTAAGGTTCTTTATTTGGCACTACGACAAAATGACTTCACATGCTCCTTTAATAAAATCATTACAGAAATCTTTACAAACTTAATAATCGTTCTAGCATTATACAAATTGAAAATAACGTGTTGTGCTATCGTATGTTGCCATTTACCTTTTCATTGATTTTAATATTTTTACAATTCTGGGAGTTCTTAAATATTTTGCAACATTTCTTTATCAAGTTTTATAAAGTGATTATTTTTTGGGCTTTTATTCCTTGGATCCTTTACTTTTAAAAAGGGTCCGGGTTCGGGTACAGCCAGGGTTCAGCGGGTTCGGGTTCACATCCCTGCTTTATACTGGGTATATAAAAAATAATATTTGGGATTTTTTTATTTTTAATATCACTCAAACGAATATTCTATATTCTATATTTATAGTTTATTATATATTAAAATACTATCAAACAATATTAAATATTTCTAATAAAAATTTATATTACATTTGGATATATACAAAACAATCAGAGATGCACCAATACCAATATCGACCTATACTACCAATCAGGGACCTGCAAAATTAAAATTTTTCAGCCTAAAATTCGTCCGCGACCCGCTGGCAAATTTTTTTAAGATTTAGTCCTAAATCCGTTGCCTCTTGAATTTTGAAAATAAAATAAAAGAAATAAACGCAGAATATTTATTTTATTAGTAGGAATAAGAAGGAAATATAACATTGATATTTTTTGGCCCATGGACAGGGCCTATATTTTAGAGATGATGCTATCGTGCCCCAGCTCACGAACCGGCCCTGCAGGTCTCTACATTTTATACCCTTATAAGAATACCAAAATTAATAATGTGTATATTTATTGAAAGAAAACAAAGATAATTTATCAATTATCATTTTTTTTATATGCATATATATCATTTATAATTACAATTAATTTACATTGAAAGCAAAAATAGGAAAAAATAATGAACAGTACCTTCTTTTGATCTTATCAGCTCAGAAATTTTTATATAATAAATTTGTAGTAAGGAAAAAATTTTTAATTTAAGAATGTTACTTATTATTCTTGGTTATCTGTTAAAATTGAAAGCATAGGCGCATCTCTACAACCAGTATTAATATAAATAATTTTAAAGTGAGTATTTTGCTTATAAAATGTGAAAAGTTTTTAAAACGATTTCCCGCATAATTAAAATAACATACTCAAGTATAAAATTTCAGTCAACACAAAATTTATGTCTAATCGACCTATATTAAGTGACGCTAATTACCTTAAAAAAACTATACAAAATGCAAAGCGAGAAAATAAAGATAAACTTTTCTTAAGTAAATAAACTATAATGGAAGGCGAAGATGTTCCAACTATACCTTCAAAAACAACTGTTAATTTAAGTCATTTAAATTTATACCCCAAAAAAATCGAGTCAAAATAATACTAAGTAATCAGTGTAATCTCTTTATGATGGGGGAGTTATATAAAGAATTTTTGCTTAGGGGATGACAGAGTTGGGCAGTAACGCGAATATTTGTATTTAAAATACTATAATATTTATTTGAATATTTTAGAAGGTATTTAATATTTCAAGAAAAGGTATAGATCTTTTTAATTTCATACAAATACAAATACTTGTACTATTTTCTATTTATTAATTAAATTTTAATTGCAAATCAACGATTTATTAATTTAAATATTAAACATTTGACCCGAGTTAGCTAAATAATATCTCATCTCATCCTATTGATGGGTGAAAATTTTGGCTGTGCCGATCCATATATTTTCCACCGATCCGATCCGATATTGGTTTAAACCCGATCCGATATTTATATTGATTTTTCATCACCCCCCTTCGAACCAAATTTAATTAAGAAATCAATATTTTTTATGCAAAAAATCGAATTATGCAATTAATTTAATTTTTTTATTTCTAAAATAATTTAAAACAACGGATATTAGTAGTATTAAATGACTTTTTCATTATTCCTCCCCGTGAATTAGAATTCCGCAGAAACGCATTTTGCAAAATTATCTTTGTCTTTTGAAATATTTCCATAATTCAGATAACATATTTTAAAAAATTCTTTTATTTACAGGGTTGCATGTGTTTTATTTGGTGATATAATAAAAACAAAAACTATTAAGTGGTATAATAATAAGTTTGAAGTGTTTAAAAAAACAGAAATACCACATTTATATATTAGGAAAAAAATAGTTTAAGTGAATATTTTTTCAAATTTTTACAATAATTTTTTAAAAAAAAGTAACATAAGAATTTACCTATGAAATGTTTCTAGAATATCGTATGTAATTTGAAATTAATTTTTTGGAAGATTTGGAGATATAAGTGGTAATACTGTATTGTATAAATCATCAACAAAAAATAATACTATGTATTTAATGATCTTTATTTCAGTTCTATGAACCTTAAATCTCAATATTGATCATAAAATAAAGACTTACACTAAAGAATTTAAACTTAAAATCAGCCATCACCCACCTTTAAAGTAATTAACTTATATTGCAGATAAATGTGTTCTTTTTTTTCTATAGAAAGGCGCTTAGAAGAACGAAATATAAAAATTATCAACCAAAGAATATTTTGTATACATATATTATAAAAATCTATAATTACAAATACAAACACATAATGATTTAATTTTGTAAGAAAATATTATATTTTAAAATTGCATTCTCGTTTAGTTTTGAGTGTTCCGAAATTGGCATCTTTATTTTTATATAAATAGAGAAAAGATAAAAATATATTTAAAATATATAAATTTATATTACCTTTAATTGATTGGTTGTCCCCGAAAACCAAGTTCCAAAAAATCATGCATATGATTATAAAAGTTTGTAAAATCATACGGAATGTACTGATTTAATATCGAATTAACATTATTTATGATTTGACCTCTATTGTTTGGCCTTGGTATAGACCTATATTTGTTTTTCGTGACCCCGAAAAAGTTTTCAATAGGATTTAATTGAGGTGAATGTGGCGGAAGATATTCAATTCGATTTTTATAGCTGTCAATAAGATGCTTGTGTATTGCGGCATTATCCATAATGTCAAGGAAAAGCAACCCATTAAAGGGCCCTTTAATAATTCGATAGGTTATAAGGCCACCAATTCCTATTGTACATAAAATACTAAAATTCTTGCCTTTGGAAGGTGGAATAGGGGGCCCAAGCATACATAGGTACAACATGGTTTATGCCTGTTTAATCCAGGAAGAACATTTTTCCCATAGGAATGTTTAGTATTTTAAGGTAATAAGCCTGGCGAATGCGAATTGCTCCTGGTCTATTTCGTCGATCGAGCTCTAATCCAGCCATTTTTTTAGACCATCCTATTTTAAATATATTTTCGGATGGTCCCCTCATTTTTTGGGAAACCTGGAGGCAAATTTTCTATGATATCTTTGATAGTCGAGGTGTTGTTATCCATTAAAATATTTATAACCTTTCTTCCGATTTCGGATGTGTCTTTTTTTTGCATCCCTTTTTTTGAATTTGATTTTGCTTCAATGGCCCCTCTATTAACTCTGGAAAAGTTTCTTGCCTTAATTTGTTAACCGAGGCTATTGACATATCAATATGTTTGGCAATGTCCTTTATTTTCATTCTTTCCATTTCCGGCTGGGATAACAATTTGGTTACTATGTCAATTTTCTCTTTATTCCGGCAATTATATTTTCTTTTTGGGTTTTGAATTGCCGGTGAATTTATAGGGTTTATTATAGTAGAATTAGCACTTATAGCAGATTGCGAAAATGATGTGGAAAAGTAATGATTAGATAAGAAGGAATTA